TTGTGTTATTTGTAAAATTGAATTTGTCTAATTTTGAGTTGGCGGTCGTCCTGGGCGGCCTCATCCTTGACTCGGTTTCGCCTGCCGTGGTAGTATTAGTAGGGCAATGCTCTCATCTAGTTTTCATGACAAGCAACACTCCCAAAGTCTGGTCGTCACAAATCCATACATAACACTACATATCTTTGACAGGAAGAACACGTTAAAATCTTCACACTGCATCAGAAAAACTCCATCATATTTAGCATTTGAGGTTTACTTTAATTCTAAGATTTGTAAACCTTGACAGATATTTTAAAATGCTCGGATTGTTTTGCAGGTTATACCTAATATTTTGTTTTCCTATTCAATGCACTTATTTTTATTAATCTTCATCATTAGTAGAATGTATCCTTGCATCACAGTATGGGAGTTTAATTTGATTATAGCATTCAGACATTTTCAAGTATTATATAGGTATTAAGTTTTCAATTTATTGCTGTTTTTTTAATCAACACCAGTTATTTAAGAATGATTGACAATTGTGAGTGTGCCGGGTGGAATATATCTGGAGGATGAGAGAATACTAGAACAAATAAACATCCATGTGATATATTTCACCACAGCATACTCACAATATTTTCTGTCTCTTACTGACTTCTGTAACATATCTATTGTTTCATTGTTGTAAAGTGAAAACAAATTTTGCTTTACCTTAAAACATTAAGTTGTACACTTAGTAGTTCCAATTGCACTTGGTTGTAATTTGCATATATGGCCTCAATTTTTCACAAGGTTTATTTGGTCTTAGTTTGTTACTCTCAAGTTAGCTAAAACAATTGCAGACCCGTTTCAGAAATGCTCAAGAAAAGGAAACTATAAATGAAGTTGCATGTGTTTCTACACAGTGGTTTCCCTTGTATCCCGTGGGTGATGTCATAAGGAAAGTAAAATCAATAGGCTTTCGTATTACAGGTCTTGTACTGACCTACAGAGACCAGAGTTGGTTGCGTACAGACACATAACTCCCAAGGAACTAACCCAGTACACGGAGCCCCGTCGTCTATACGGGCTCCGAGTCAGCGGTGATTGGGAACTAACAACATGACAGTGTAAGATGTAACGGCCCATGTAAGTCAGTACGAGGACCTGTAACGTCTATATAGTCAGTACGAGGACCTGTAACGTCTATATAGTCAGTACCAGGACATGCAACGTCTATATAGTCCGAACAAGGACCTGTAACATCTATATAGTCAGTACGAGGACCGGTAACATCTATATAGTCAGTACGAGGACCTGTAACGTCTATATAGTCAGTACGAGGACCTGTAACGTCTATATAATCGGTACAAGGAACTGTTACCTCTATATAGTCAGTACCAGGACCTGTAACATCTATATAGTCAGTACGAGGACCTGTAAGATCTATATAGTCAGTATGACAACCTGTAATGTCTATTTAGTCAGTACAAGGACCTGTAACGTCTATATAATCAGTACAAGGACCTGTAACATCTATATAGTCAGTACCGATATAGTCAGTACGAGGACCTGTAAGATCTATATAGTCAGTATGACGACCTGTAATGTCTATATAGTCAGTACGAGGACCTGTAACGTCTATATAGTCAGTACGCTGTAATGTCTATATAGTCAGTACGAGGACCTGTAAAGTATATATAGTCAGTACCAGGACCTGTAACATATATATAGTCAGTACGAGGACCTGTAAGATCTATATAGTCAGTACGAGGACCTGTAAGATATATATAGTCAGTATGACGACCTGTAATGTCTATATAGTCCGTACGAGGACCTGTAACGTCTATATAGTCAGTTCGAGGACCTGTAACGTCTATATAGTCAGTTCGAGGACCTGTAACGTCTATATAGTCAGTCCGAGGACCTGTAACGTCTATATAGTCAGTTCGAGGACCTGTAACGTCTATATAGTCAGTCCGAGGACCTGTAACGTCTATATAGTCAGTCCGAGGACCTGTAACGTCTATATAGTCAGTACAAGGACCTGTAACGTCTATATAATCAGTACGAGGACCTGTAACATCTATATAGTCAGGTATGAGGACCTGTAACATCTATATAGTCAGTACCAGGACCTGTAACATCTATATAGTCAGTACGAGGACCTGTAGTCTATATAGTCAGTACGAGGACCTGTAACATCTATATAGTCAGTATGAGGACCTGTAACATCTGTATAGTCAGTACGAGGACCTGTAACATCTATATGGTCAGTACGAGGACCTGTAACGTCTATATAGTCAGTACAAGGACCGGTAACGTCTATAAAGTCAGTACGAGGCCCTGTAACGTCTATATAGTCAGTACGCGGACCTGTAACATCTATATAGTCAGAACGAGGACCTGTAACATCTATATAGATCTGTATAGTCAGTACGAGGACCTGTAACTAACGTCTATATAGTCAGTACGAGGACTTGTAACGTCTATATAGTCAGTACGAGGTCCTGTAAAACTATAGTCAGTACGAGGCCCTGTAACGTCTATATAGTCAGTACGAGGACCTGTAACATCTATATAGTCAGTACGAGGACCTGTAAAGTCTATATAATTGGCACAAGGACCTGTAACGTCTATATAGTCAGTACGAGGACCTGTAAAACTATAGTCAGTACGAGGACCTGTAACGTCTATATAGTCATTACGAGGACCTGTAAAATCTATATAGTCAGTACAACGACCGGTAACGTCTATAGTACCAGGACCTGTAACATCGATATAGTCATTATGAGGACCTGGGACATCTATATAGTCAGTCCGAGGACCTGTAAAACTATAGTCAGTAAGAGGAACTGTAACGTCTATCTAGTCAGTACGAGGACCTGTAGAATATATAGTCAGGACGAGGACCTGTAAATTCTATATAATCGGCACAAGGAACTGTAACGTATATATAGTAAGTACGAGGACCTGTAACATCTAATATAGTCAGTACGAGGGCCTGTAACGTCTAACTAGTCGGTATGAGGACCTGCAACATCTATATAGTCAGAACAAGGACCTGTAACGTGTATATAGTCAGTACGAGTACCTGTAACGTCTATATGGTCAGTACGAGGACCTGCAGTCTATATAGTCAGTACAAGGACGGGTAACGTCTATATAGTCGGTACGAGGACCTGTAACGTATATATAGTCAGTACGAGGTCCTGTAAAACTATAGTCAGAACGAGGACCTGTAACATCTTTATAGTCAGTACGAGGAGTCAGTACGAGGACCTGCAGTCTATATAGTCAGTACTAGGACCTGTAACGTATATATAGTAAGTACGAGGACCTGTAAGATCTATATAGTCAGTACCAGGACATGCAACGTCTATATAGTCAGAACGAGGACCTGTAAAACTATAGTTAGTACGAGGACCTGTAAAACTATAGTTAGTACGAGGACCTGTAAGATCTATATAGTCAGTACCAGGACATGCAACGTCTATATAGTCAGCACGAGGACCTGTAACATCTAATATAGTCAGTACGAGGGCCTGTAACGTCTAACTAGTCGGTATGAGGACCTGCAACATCTATATAGTCAGAACGAGGACCTGTAACATCTAATATAGTCAGTACGAGGATAGTCAGTACGAGGACATGTAACATCTATATAGTGTAACGTCTATATAGTAAGTACGAGGACCTGTAACCTCTATATAGTCAGTACGGGGACCTGTAAAGTCTATATAGTTGGCACAAGGACCTGTAACGTGTATATAGTCAGTACGAGTACCTGTAAAACTATAGTCAGAACGAGGACCTGTAACATCTCTGTAACGTCTATATAGGCAGTACGAGGACCTGTATATAGTCAGTACGAGTACCTGTAACGTCTATATAGTCCGTACGAGGACCTGTAACCTCTATATAGTCAGTACGTGTTACCTCTATATAGTCATTACCAGGACCTGTAACATCTAGTCAGTACGAGGACCCATCTATATAGTCAGTACCAGGACATGCAACGTCTATATAGTCAGTAGGAGGACCTGTAACATCTTATATAGTCAGTATGACAACCTGTAATGTCTATTTAGTCAGTACAAGGAGTCAGTACGAGGACCTGTTCTATATAGTCAGTACGGGGACCTGTAAAGTCTATATAGTTGGCACAAGGACCTGTATCGTCTATATAGTCAGTAGGAGGACCTGTAACATCTATATAGTCAGTACGAGGACCTGTAACGTCTATATAATCGGCACAAGGACCTGTAACGTCTATATAGTCAGTACGAGGACCTGTAACGTCTAACTAGTCAGTACGAGGACCTGTAGTCTATATATAGTCAGTACGAGGACCTGTAAGATCTATATAGTCAGTACGAGGACCTGTAAAGTCTATATAATCGGCACAAGGACCTGTAACGTCTATTTAGTCAGTACGAGGACCTGTAACATCTATATGGTCAGTACGAGGACCTGTAACGTCTAAATAGTATGTATGAGGACCTGTAACATCTATATAGTCATCAGTACAAGGACCTGTAACGTCTATATAGTCAGTACGAGGACCTGTAGTCTATATAGTCAGTACGAGGACCTGTAATGTCTATATAGTCAGTATGAGGACCTGTAACGTCTATATAGTCAGTACAAGGACCTGTAACATCTATATCGTCAGTACGAGGACCTGTAACGTCTATATAATCGGCACAAGGACCTGTAACGTCTATATAATCGGCACAAGGACCTGTAACGTCTATATAGCCAGTACGAGGACCTGTAACGTCTATCTAGTCAGTACGAGGACCAGTAACGTCTATATAGTCAGTATGAGGACCTGTAGTCTATATATAGTCAGTACCCTGCACTGTCTAAATAGTAAGTTCAAGGACCTGTAACGTGTATATAGTCAGTACGAGGAACTGTAGTCTATATAGTCAGAACGAGGACCTGTAACATCTATATCGTCAGTACGAGGACCTGTAACATCTATATAGTCAGTACGAGGACCTGTAACATCTATATAACGGGGCTTTACTTACCATTTACCACTCACTAGTGCCTCCACCTTGGTCCCAATCTCAGCTGAAACAGAAATACAGAAAACGGTAAAAAAATGAACCTGTTAAACAAGACCACAATTGTTGATTTCATGACATAGCTACATTCCAAAGGTTATTATGGTTATATCTTGTCAAATGAATGCAATAAATGTTTCACATTGAAAATTTTTGATTAAAACATACTAGTTATCTAGTTTTCATAATATTAACTATACACTTCAAATATTGCATTGCAACTTCAGTTTTGAAAACTAGATTGACTGTTTCAACTCCTATTGTGAACACTTTCATCTCTGATGATGCCTTCCGGCAACTTTGTTTGAATCTTGGGAAACTCATATCCAATGGCACCACCAGGCTGTGGTGAATTAAAATGCACAAAAAACATCATAAGCTAAATGCATTATAATGTTTCATTAAATTGAAATAGCTTTAAGTTAACATCTTGTTGATTACCAGCATTTTTCACCAAGTTAACACCATTTTTTATTAGCCGTATTGAATATTTAGTACAAAAATCAACTTTTCATATGACAAGATTATAAATTTCATAAATGTTCTGCTCGTTAGGTGATGAGAGCTCCGAACAAACATATTAAGAACATATATCAAGCCAGTCACAAACAATAAAGGTAAAATATGTCTTTTGTAAATCTAGACATTGATTACAACTGTTTTACATTGCCATCGTGAAACATTTTCAGATTTCAGGTATATGTATATTTTGGATTTGAAATGTTGTTTATGTATTGAAAACACACACATGTAGCACACATGTAGAATGTTTGATTCTGTCTGTACTCTCTGGTGACAAGGTTTGATTTGTTTGAGGTGAGGTCCTGATAATGGTACAAAAAGAACCGGTAGAGCTTAATGGTGATGATGTAATCAGTACAGAGAAACAATAGCCACACAAGTCAGCAGATCAATGACACACAAGTCAGCTGATCAATGACACACGAGTCAGCTGATCAATGACGCATGAGTCAGCTGATCAATGACACACGAGTCAGCAGATCAATGACACACGAGTCAGCAGATCAATGACGCATGAGTCAGCTGATCAATGAAGCATGAATCAGCTGATCAATGACGCATGAGTCAGCTGATCAAAGACGCATGAGTCAGCTGATCAATCAGAGTATGGTATGTTGATTTATTATGCACAGATTTAACTCAACTTCAAACTGAGCATTAATCACTTTGTATATTGGACCTGTTGATCATCTGATGAACTTAAGTGTAGACACTGACCAATCAGAGTATAGTATGCTAATTATGTGAAGATTTCTATCTTTGTCTTAGTCTCTGTATATTGGACCTGTTTATCAAATTATGAACTGAAGTGTAGATGCTGACCAATCAGAGTATAGTATGCTAATTATGTGAAGATTTCTATCTTTGCGTTAGTCTTTGTATATTGGACCTGTTGATCATCTTATGAACTTAAGTGTAGACGCTGACCAATCAGAGTATAGTATGCTCATTATGTGAAGATTTCTATCTTTGCGTTAGTTTTTGTATATTGGACCTGTTTATCATCTTATGAACTGAAGTGTAGACGCTGACCAATCAGAGTATAGTATGCTAATTATGTGAAGATTTCTATCTTTGCCTTAGTCTTTGTATATTGGACCTGTTTATCATCTTATGAACTTAAGTGTAGACGCTGACCAATCAGAGTATAGTATGCTAATTATGTGAAGATTTCTATCTTTGCCTTAGTCTTTGTATATTGTAAATGCTTAAAGTTCATTTAAGATTGAATGCTATTTAATAACTTATCTTGCGAAAATGAAAGTGTGGACAAAATGACAAAGGGACTCTTCCAATGCATTATGTACCATAATATGTCCCCTCAAATCTTCTGAAGGTGCATTTTTTCCTGTGAGATACATGTCTTATAATAATTGCTGCTATAAAAATCTTATTTGCAATATATACAAAAGAATTATTTAATATGACAGGCATTGATCTCCAGACTAATGGTCCGTTAATATTTTTAATGCAGGGAAAGGAGAAACTCAAAAATCTTTCAGGGCCATCATGCAATTTGACCAGTATCAAAAATATTCTGATGAATTTATTGGCTAGGAAATCTTTATAATTCCAATATTGTGATTTATCCGGTACAATTATACCCATAAATAATGACTAAATACAATTATATAGTTAAACCTATGTCTGAGATTTTCATAGATTTTTATTGTTTAAATAATTCAAACAAATTAAATCATTCAAACAACACATTGCATTAAATTTTCACTTTAAAATAATGAATGAAAAAATCAAGTATTTTGTGATTTTTTTTTACAAAATCATACAGTTCAGTCAGGCTAATGAAGTTTTTATTTTTAGTTGTCATTGATTTGAGCCGTACTACAGTTCCCCATCTATATTGTAAACCCACATCAACAGCTTCTCGTTAGGAGGTTATTAGCCCTGCTTTAAGAGCATACAAGTAACATAACGCACACAATATATAGCTACATGCATCAAGCTATGGTGTGACTTCTCTGGTTAACGGTATGCATGCGACCACTAATTTGCTGTTGAACACATTTGCATGCTATTAGATAAACGTAGGAATCCATACAGTAATACCAGCAGCATTCGTTCTCTTGTCAAATTACACCCATAAAAATGTTTCTCTTTAAAGCTTTTACCAAAATGAGTCAATACACTTAAAATACAAACATAAAATTTCAAATGGCTGATCCGCAAGGAATATAGCCGCAATCTCACGGCAAAGCACAAGAAAGAGCAACGGAAAATCGATTATTTTTACCGAACCACGTTTTTCAATTTTTGACAGTAAATTTTTGGGAGTTGTAAATGGCATAGATTCCAGAACTACGGTGTTGTTGGAGGCAGTTGTCAGTATTATATCTTGATGACCTGCATGGGAAACAGATGGAACCACCAGGGAAAGTGCGTAGGAAATTAGCAAGCACAGGAAAAAAATCTTTGTTCACACTCTAAATGGAGTTATGTCTTTGTTCCAAAGATTTTCAACTTAAAATTGATTGACCACACAATATACGATTCCATTTGTACTAAAATTTACATTTATCATCAGAAGTAAAACTTTTAAAACATTAAGACAATACAGACACGGGTGTAAATTGATGAATATAAATGTTTCTCAACAAAACCTTGGCAATTTCACAAGTATCTGATATTTTTAGACTCCCTCTGCTTTTGGCAACATCTACTCGGAGATTTGACGAGTGAGGTAGGCCTGCTTTATGTGTGATTGTTTAAAGGAACGCAGACATGTCAAATGTTGGTATTAAAGGCATACAACGAACAGAAAATATAACATCTGTGACTGGACAAAGCACCTAGTCATCTATGCCTGGACAGTATACAGTATATCACCGTATGGAATACAGGACTTTGTATTGCATGCCCTTAAAACTGTATCACTATAGTAAGATTTACTGGGTATGTGATAAAAACATCTATGACTGGATAGTGGGAGAAAAACTACAATCTGTTGCAAAACAGATGGTGACACAATGTGCAATTTATATTGCAAGATATATTTTATTTTTACAGAAATTAAGATGATCTGAACAGAAGAAAACAAAACCAGAGATTGATTTATGTTGTTAGGGAAATATTTATAAGTATGAACCTACCGAAAGTAGTTGTGCTTCATGTAACTATAAATCTGAAGCGATCATCATAAGGTCATGAACATTGTGATGTTATCGTGCCATTGGAGACAGCTGGCTGATAATGGCTGTTCCATTTACTGAAAATCAACCTGAATTTATTTTAGAAATTTAAATATAATTTTATTGACAAAATCAGCGGAAAATGTGACTAAAAGTACTGACTTAGTCTGTTTATAGTTATAGACCTATAGTTCTGATCAGGGAAAATCAGCGGAAAATATGACTAAAAGTACTGACTTAGTCTGTTTATAGTTATAGACCTATAGTTCTGATCAGGGAAAATCAGCGGAAAATATGACTAAAAGTACTGACTTAGTCTGTTTATAGTTATAGACCTATAGTTCTGATCAGGGAAAATCAGCGGAAAATATGACTAAAAGTACTGACTTAGTCTGTTTATAGTTATAGACCTATAGTTCTGATCAGGGAAAATCAGCGGAAAATATGACTAAAAGTACTGACTTAGTCTGTTTATAGTTATAGACCTATAGTTCTGATCAGGGAAAATCAGCGGAAAATATGACTAAAAGTACTGACTTAGTCTGTTTATAGTTATAGACCTATAGTTCTGATCAGGGTTGCAGACAAATCCCTAACAAGCTAACACACACGATTCAATTGGTCTGCGATCCTTATCAGCAGGCTGGGCTATAAGGTGATTTCCTGTGAATGTTTTCAATGATTAATTCAGTAAATTCCTTAGTAGATACACGGCGAAATTAACATGGAAACAATATGGATTTAATTAGTGACAGCACTTCAGATTCATAATCTCACATATCACATTTTCTTTTTATTGAATTGCAATAGACAGCTACCTTTTATATCGATAAATTCTTGATAAGAAATCATTTAGACATGTAAAATGCTGAATCTGCTATTTTTATTTTATTTGTGAATGAGAAGAACTTTGGATTAAACTTTAAAGTAATTTGCCTAAATTGGTGATTTTTCTTTAGAAAAATGTGTAAAGAAAGAATACCTATAAGGGCTATGAAAATGCCTTACAATAATATTTGCTTTTTTTTGTCCATATCACTAATATTACATAAATCAGACGTTTTTGCCTGATGCATACATACACAGGCTTGAACAGTATACACAGCATTTGTGAAATAATGAGTTTCAATCCTACAGCAGTTTTGAGGACAGCATGCACAAATTCCAAACTAAACACCTCAGCTTCAATGACTAGTTAGAATACAGCTGATATGGTAAGAGGCTTGACCTCTTCTCTCTGTAAACCACATGTAGGAACTGAGTGATGGAATATTGATTTCAAAGTGGAATGCTGTTGCTTATTAATTAAAAGTTATAGTATATGTGAGCGTTCAGAACA